ATTTCTAAATGTCAGTAATCTTATTAGAATCTTATGCATTGTTGCAGAATATTCACACCAGGGAAACTATTTGGTATTTACACATGTGGGACTTATTTATTTCACTTAGGAGTATATCTTCAATATGTATCCATTTTCCTATGAATGAATCTATTCTCTCGCTCTTTATGGCTGAGTAATATTCCATTTTATAGAAAAACCACAACTTCTTTATCCAGTTTCCAACGGATGGGCAAAAGGCAGAATCTTAGCATTTAAAAGCATATAGCATTTGGCTTATCAGTCCCACCAATAGGAATTTATTTTCCATAGACATATAAGTATGCAAAAAAAAATATGTATGAGAAAACCTACCACAGCATTATATATAATTCTAAAAAACATGGAAAGAACCTAAGTACCAACAATAGGGAACTAGGTGAAAACATAAAGCACATCTACCCAGTGAATACATAATGCAACCACTAAAAAAAACAGGGTACAGGTTACTACAGAAGAATCACCAAACTACATTAAGTGAAATACAGACAAGGTGCAAAACAGTTTTATGAGTCTCTCTCTACAGTATTAATACAATTTTCAAATTGTAAGATCTATTCATTAACATATAAAATGTTCTCTAGGAACAGATGTAAGAAATTGTTAGGCTCGGATTTGGCTCAGTGGTTCCACCGCCTGCTTCACAAGTGCAAGGGACCGAGTTCAATCCCCAGTACAAAAAAAAAGAAATTGTTATACAGAGGTCATTTCTAAGGAGAAGACAGGGTAGAAGGAAATGAGGTAGTATGGTGATGGGGTGGCCTTGTACATAAAAGCACAGAATATTTACGAAAGAATTCCTTCTAGTCTGATGTATTTTATCTCCTGATAGCTACCCACTTACAGTCTTCACTTTAGGCGAATTCTGTATATCTTCATTCCTGCACATAATTCTTTAGTGCAGAAATAGCTGTATTCATTTTTTTTTCCTTGTAGTTTGCAACTCAAGGGAATGATTTTCTTCCCCACCCCTTTTTCCTACCGTAACTCAGCCTTTTCAGATTCAATGTGAAGGATAGCCATTGTCCTTTCATAATTCTTTTCAGGGCTGTCATAGAAAGTACGAGCAATCCATCTTGATATAGGATGCTATAAGAAAGTATTTGTTTAAAATTAGTTTCTGAACAATGCTTTGCTTTTCTAGGTGATTACTCTTTAAAAATGACTGTCTCAGGTAGCTAAACCAGTATTTAGGATATGCCACTACTTTACATATTTTTTTTCATTAAGTTTATCGGTACATTTTAGGAATACAGTACAGTTACATTCATCATTGGGATCTTGTACCTTTACATGATAGGTCTTAGTTCTCATTTTTACCCCATATCCCCACCCTCCCTTCGCTCCCTCCCGTCCTCCGCTATTTACAAAGACTTTGTTTCCATTTTCTCCTTTTCTCATATATTTTTTCTTTTTCCTTCTTTCCTTTGCCCTACCCTTCCTACTTCCCCTACACCTTTAGCCCTTTTCTTCCTATTTCACATTATCAGTTATACAATTCTTTATATATATTTTAAATAACTTTAGTTCATTAGGTAGATACTATTTTTTGTCTCCATTTTAGAGATGAGCAAATTGCGCAAACTAAGTAGCAATGTTTGGACTCACACCGGGTCTGACCGACTCCAAAGCCTCTGTTCTTGCCCATTATCCTATGCTGAAGTATCTTAAGTGGCAGATTTAGAAGGCGAAGCAAGATTATGTCGATCCAAACATGAAGATCTTCCCACCAGGTAGCAAAAATAAATTAATTTCTTTTATTTACCTTGTGATTTAATAATGAAGCATTTTTTTAAAAAATACAATTCATTCACATAATAAAACACAATGAAGTATAGTCTACCCAAGGTCGGCTCACTACCATACTTGTGAAGGTATGTAACAGATTAATTTTGCATTTTGGTGACATGGATGCTATGCTGTAATGGCCATACACCAGTGCTGGCCTGAGCGAGACTGATGGTTTCTAATACATACCGGCTCTACCTCTTAGGCTGGCCACTTTATTCCTTTTAAGCCTGAGCTTCCTCATCTCTAAAGTGGGGAACAATAATGGTACTTTTTATGTGGGATAAGATAATTTTGTAAAAAACTTAGCATGGTGCCTGTGACACAGAAGGTACTCAACAAAAGACAGCTGCAATTAGCACTGGTAATCTCTTCCCCCATGGCTTTGACTTAGAATAAATTCTGTCACTCTGCTAGGTTGAAAACACACTGCAAAGTCAGTCTTAAAAACTGTAAAGCTTTAAAAAAAATACCAAATGTAGCTGCTAGTAAAAAATGTAACACCTACTTGATGTCAAAAATTGAATATAAAAACTGTATCATAATTATCAAATTAAAATATTAACTAGCACTATGACAAAACACCTAATAAAAAATAAATTTTAATGACCTATACAAACCTTGTAATACTCCCAGTATTCTGGGATATAGCCTTCTGGTATTTCTGCTAATTCGGCTTCACCTAATAAGAGAAAAATGGTGATGTTCAGCTTTGGCATTAGGCATTTATAATATTAATTCTTCACTAATAAAGCAAGAAACCAAGTTCCTGTGATTTTAAGAAATCCTTTATTTGTACCTATGAAGATCTACTTTTCTAAATTCACCTTGGTCATCTGGTTGTGTATCAATTCATTCATTAGGTATATTTAGATACCTTCAAAGGTAAGGCATTATTTTAGACATTAAATAAGAGCTCATTTTGTTTTAATAATAAAAAATATATTATTCCTTCTGGTCTTCCCTATAGCCTCTAAATATTTTAGAATTCAAGGTATTAGAAGCACTGTGAACAGAATTTCCCATGAAAAGCTAATAATGTTTACTGCAACTAACAATTTTTTTTTCTAAAAAAATTATAGATTTCTATGTTCCAGGGCAGATTTTTTAAAATTCTTCTATCTCTTAGCCTCTCTTCCATTTGTGTCTCTTTCTACTTTCCTTATTCAGATTTATCAAAGCTGATTTGGGGAAATACGAAAGAAAAGGAAGATGAGGTTTTTGGATGAAGCCTCTAGAGAATGTGTGACCTTAAAGGTTTTGGAAAGAAAAGAAATGTGCTAGAAAATAACCTCACATATTATTAAAATTTGGTTACTTTTATTGTTTTTTTGTGGGTTTTTTTTTTTTTTTTTTTTTTGGTACCGGGGATTGAACTCAGGTCCTTGCGCTTGCAAGACAGGCCACCGAACCGCTGAGCCAAATCCCCAGCCCAAAATTTGGTTACTTTTAAATAAACAGCCATGCTTATGTTTACCTTACTATTGAAAAGGTTTTTCATTATAATATTCATTATTTTCTTTTTAAAAATTAATGTACATTTATTTTTAAAATTTACCCATTCAGTACTCCTGGGGTGTGGGTGACTTACCAATAAAGACGTTCACCAGAGTTATGCCAATTACTACTGGAACCCCAGTCAACAAAAGGTAGAATCTCTGTTAAGATTAAAAAACAAAAAGGTTTTTCTCATGACCATTTCCTAACTCTACCCACCCTCAAATCATCCTCGTGTGATTCCCTCATATTTCTTAAAAAATAAACTTGCCAAATTGGGGATACGGTATAAAGTTATTGAGTTCAGTAATATTATTTTATTCCAGGTTTAAAATCAAAAATGAAGGAAAAAATAAGGTTTAACTATATAAGTATACAAGTATAATACAATATATTTAAATGGCCACTTTCTGGTTAAAGCAATGCCATGGAAGTTAGAAAAAAAATGTAAAAACCTTAGGGTGATTTAAACCACTGAACAGGGTTTGAGTTGGCCATGATAAGAAAAAGTGGGACATAAACCAAGTAGACAGAGAGGGGCAAGAAGTGAAAGGGAAGGTAAGAGAAGTTCTCAAGAGAGCTAGAATCCAGATGATGATTCAGAGCTTTAGGGACAGCTGCAGTGTCCAGACAAGCTTCTGTTTTCTCAGCCTCCACTTGGTTCTTATACAGACTTGAGATACAAATACACAATCAGTACCCTAAGTAAGCAATATTGTTATCGATAACAGTACCGTGCTAACCTGCAGTATAGGTTAGCATCAGTCTCTGAAATAAAAGTTCCCAAATGACATATCAATAAAAATTATTCAAAATAACAGTGCTCCTTTATTAATTTCTTTGGCAATTTAAATACTTTACTAATGTAAACTAATCATCCTCATATAAATCAATTTTCAGTTTTATAATTTGCAGATTTGCAGAAAGAGAGAGATTGTGTGTGTGTGTGTGTGTGTGTGTGTGTGTGTGTGTGTGTGTGTGTGTTTGGGTCTGTGTTTGTGTTGCTGGGGATCAAACCCAGGACCCTGTGCTAAGCAGGGGCTTTGCCACTGAGCTACACCTTCAGTCCTGTAGATTTTTTTTTATCTTAAAGCAGGGAACAATTATATTTCAAATCTCCATAATCTTAAGAAAGGAATGGCTCAAGTTTTACCTCCAGTTAGTGTGAACACTTTTACTGAAAGAGAAAAAGTTCACTAATTTAAAAAAAGATGCAATAGCAAATAAGAATTTGCCTCACAATCTCAGTATCTTCTGAGCAAAGATATATGAATTTATAAAATCAAATCTTTTATAACATGGAAGATGGTAAAGAGGCAAAAAATTTAATCCTAATTATAAGGCAAGTTAAACAAAAAAATTTTAACTCACCAATAATTTCAAAAACCGCTTGTCATAGAATGAAGAAGGTCTGACAATAAACAGTCTTTTCCCATGGTCTGCACTATGTCGTACAGGGGCTGCAAATATTAAATTACTTTATCTTATACAAGGTCCATGGAAGTATACTGTTACAAGCTAAAGACAGATCATAAGAAAATGTACATGCATAAATATTTTATATGAATTAATATTTTTAAAATGCTTTTTTGAGTACTAAGAGCAGATATGGTATCTTCAAAGCAATGACTAATATACTACTGTTCTAAACTACAGATCTAGTTTTTCTCTTTTTTTTTTCTTTGTAATAGTATCGATCAAGTCCTGGGCTTCAAGTATACTAGGTCAGCACTCTACCACTTATTTTAATTAAATCTTAAATAAATATTCAAGTATTCATTTCAATTTGTTTCAGTAGCAGGCAGGGATGGTCAGATATTCTTGGTGAGCTGATCGTCTTTGTTTCCTCTACTATAAATATTTGATAATGCTGTAAAAGAAATAAATCATTATAATTTAAGTCATGCCATTTATATGATGAGGTAGTATACATCAAGAAGTTGCTAGCCTGGTAGATGCCTGTAATCCCAGCACTTGGGAGACTGAGGCAGGAGGATCACCAAGTTTGAGGCCAGCCTACGGTACACAGCCAGGTCAAGGCCAGCCTGAAATATATAGTGAGGCTCTGTCTCAATAAAGCAATGAAACAAACAAAAGTTGTTGCAAAATACATAGAAAAGACCAACATTATTTATCCAACAAGTCTCCATTAGGAATTTGAACTTGTTACAGAACTACAGACTCTACATTATGTGGCTAAAATCCATTTGTAAGCTATTTCTGATTAAGAATATCCTCCTCTTCAAACTGCTCCCAGATGGAACTTAATCAAGGACTGCTGGAGATAAAATGAGGCAAAATTTTGCTCATGTTGTATATCTGCAGTGCCCTCCTTTCTCCCGAAGGCTCAAGTGACATCCTATTATCCAAGAAGCCAACATTGCTCCAATCAGATGAGACCTCTCCTACTTTTGAGTTGCTGTACATCCTCGTGACATGTAACAAGTCATCCTTCTGATTAGGTATCTTCCTGCACAAGTCTGGTTCCAAGACCCCCATGGATAAAACACTCCACAGATGCTCACGTTTCCTATACCAAATGGATCCACATATAACACATCCTACTGCATAGTTGCACCTCTTGGTTACGTATAATATCTAATACAGTAAGTGCAATGGAGTTATTATCTAAGAGAATGAGAAAATTAAAAGCCCAAGTATTTCATTATGGGCACAATTTTTCCCCCAAATATTTTCTACTTGCAGTTGTTGAATCCAAGGATACAGAACCCACAGACACAGAGGACCAGCTGTACTTGCTGTCACTGCTGCCACTTCTAACTATATTTTAATATTTTCAAGGCAGGATCTGTTTTAATTTTGGTATCATTTGCAGCAGCTTGCAATGATTTAGGAGATTAATTCACAAGAGAATTAGAAGCTGGCATCAATGTATGAAGTGTAAGCCATACTACTAAGGCCCCTAAAATAACAATATTATAAACCAGAGAACTTGACAAAGTATAGATTTCAGCCAATCATTTGTGAGGTACCATTACTGAATTTTTTTCTGAACTACATGAAGAAAACAGACCACATTATACCACAAATATTCATTAATTCAATAAACATGTAAGAGCCTACATGTTCAGATCCTTTGCTAGGTTAAGAGCCTAAGAAGACTATAGATTCTTCTGGGAGAAAAAGACACTAAATAAGTAATTGCAAATCCATAAGAGCAACAAAGGAAAGAAATGGCATGCAGGTGGAAAAGAACAGGTCAGAAGGAAAGTTCCTATTTGGAGGATGTGGGGAGGAGAGGTGGGGCAAAATTGCACTAGAAGCTGAGAGGAGCAAGTTAATAAATTTGTAATGACTAACTGATTGGTTGGCTATAACCAAAAGATGCTCATTAATTAATGTAATGACCTACCAAAGGGAGCTCTCAAGATTTTTATGAATGGCCTGGATGAGGCAGAAGCAGCATTCCCAACTTGTTGAGTCTTGGAAACACAATGCTACTGCAACAAGAGTGGCTAATACACTGAGGATAAAGTGGGCCCCTGAAAGAGTCCTCATACTCGTTTACAAAAGGCTGAATCTAATAGGCTTAAATGTAGTCAGAGGAAATCCCTGCCTTGAAACCCAAAGGCTAATTAATTCAATCTTAACCTAATGTACAAGAAGTACAGAGTCAAAACACAACAATCCTCCTTGCTTCCACATCCCAACTATCTCTGCAGAAGTCTGTCCCCTTTAAAGCACATTCTTCCAAGGGCAATCTGGAGTGTTCCCCACCTTACACAACCAGAAAACTGAGCTGAGACTGAAAGATCTGAAGTTAACTGGCCCACAATAAAAAAACTCCGGGCAGAGACTAGATTAACTTTCTAAATAGCTAAAGAGCTATCTCACAACCGAAGGTTACTCTATAATGACCTGAAGGAAAGAAACAGGATCAGTGTGAAACAGTAATTTTCAGCTTTATACATGAAATTCCCAGCAATTTTAGTTGCTGAAAATAAAAGAGGACTGTCATTATACAGCTATTCAAGTATCAATAGGAAGGTTAAATCTGATCGTGTCAACTGGACAGGCTTAGGTGCCCAGGGGATTGGTGGAGCACATTTCTGGGTATGCCTGGCTGGGTCACGGAAATGTGACCTAGGTCTCTCACTCCTTCTTCTCTGGGACTATTCTGCTCTGCTTCCCGGCAGTCATGGACTGAGTAGCTTTGCTCCTCCACACCATTCCACTATAATGTTTCTACCTTGGAGCCAGTTTACCATGGATTGAATCCCCAGAAATCATGCACCAAATTAAATCTCTCCTCCTTTAAGTTGTGGGTGTCAGGTATCATGTCCCAGTGTCAGAAAAGCTGAAAAATACAGGATATAACAAGGACTAGCATAATATAAGGTGTTACCCTAGAAGATCTTTAAATTTCTTCCCCTTAGAGAATATGAATATATGACCTCTTAGAATAAATAGGTATACTTTTCAACACATCTCTTTCAATGGTTTCCTTTCCAACTCTTAGAATGAGAAATGACTTGAATATACAATTTTCCACAGAAGATATACAAATGGAAAGGCACATGAAAATATGTTCAAAACATTAATCATTAGAAAAATGCAAATCAAAACTACAATGAGATATTACCACATACCTAATAGTGTGACTAATAGCAAACAAGTGTTGGTGTGGAGAATGTAGAGACTGGAGCTCTTGTGCACTGCTGGCAAGAATGCAAAATGGTATAGAAACTACAGAGTCCCCCCCCCAAAAAAAAATTAAAAACAGAATTAACAAATGATCTAGCTATTCTACTTCTAGGTAGATACCCAAAAGAACTAAAAGCAAGACCTCAAAAGATATTTGTACACTCACGTTCATAGAAGAATTGTTCATAATAGCTAAAAGATGGAACCCAAGTGTCTAAAGACGGATGACTGGATAAGCAAAATGTCATATAGTAGACTCCATATCTGGATTCTACATCCTTGGATTCAATCAAGTACGACATTAAAAGCATCGCTTCTGTACTAAACATGTATACAGTTTTGTCATTTCCCCAAAACAATAAGAACTACTTATATAAGATCACACTGTATTAGGTATTATACATAATCTAGAGATGACTATATCAAGGACTTTTAACCTATGTAGTTTTTTAAGTTTATATTCCTATATTCCTGCTAGAAATCGTTTGAATACTATTGCTCTTTTCCAGCATGTTCCAGTGCAATGCGTTAAGTAGCATACTTAAAACTGGGAAAAGAGGTAAAGACAGAACAAGATATTTTGGGGTTAAAGACAATAATTTTGCTTTTAGGATAAAAGTTTCACTTCCTCTCTATTTGTATTGCACAGGGCAAATAACTTTGATCAAGAGGATTAAATAATTCAATATTTTAAAGCCTTAAAATGGTGCCTGACACACAAGAGGTGCTCAATAAATTCTAGCTGCCACTATTACTGGTCTAGCAGAACAGTGCATTATTTTTATAATAACGAGTTAGTCTCCTCCCCAGTAAAATTGGGACAATAACACTGTATTTACTTTGCAAAGTCTATGAAATAAAAATATAAATTGAATACCAATCATTTGATATTTTGCTCTTTTGATTATTCACCCCTACCCGCCTCAAGCATCCACAGTACTCTGTGGTCCTAGGACTGCATCATTATTTTTCTGGGATCTAAGCAGTTATGTGTTTTTGGTTCCCTTCCTAAAATATTAGAAATGCCATTTTATGACTGCACTAATACAAAAGATCATCAGAAACAAGGAAATAGATCTATTGCAAATGAGGAGGGTACTAAGAGATAGAGGGAGAAAGGAGGAAGGAGAGAGGGAAATAAAAATTGAGATGTGATAGGTACAAGCATCAACTCCCCACAACAAATGTAATCATTATGTACTGCAACCATGTACTAATAAAAATAAAAAATAGAATCTAATCCGAATTCACTAATATTATAGTCTTTTAAAAAAGAAATTTAACTTAAAACATTTTCATAGACTTCTAAAATTAACATGGGCTCTACAGGTACAATGATTACAGTGTCAAATGGGTAAGCTGGCCCTAAGCCTACCTATCTACATATTACACATTATCAGTGGGTTTCTCAGCAACAAGACCTTACCATCTGTGGGCCCAGAACCTACTGCCGGTGATTAAGTACCAAGAATCCGGTGCCCTACACAGGTCTCAGCTCTTATAGCCTTTTCAGCCTCGGCTGCAAATAGCAAAATGTTTTACAATTAATTTAAACGCAAGCGATTTTATTACTTCAGGAAAATCCTTTACACAGATGGTGCTCCGTTTATCCTAAAAGCCCAAGCCCACAATTTGTCCCGGTTCCCACCAAGGTCACCTGGGAACAGTCCTCCAATCTCTCACCCCGTCCCCCTTGCACGCACATCCTCCCAAGGCCAGCACGCACCAAGAGTCTTTGGGAAGACGCGGGTGATAAAGCCTCCGTATCCAAGCCGAGTTCCAAGGCGGCGGCCAGACAGAGCCGTCACTGCAGTGACAGAAGCCCGCTGCAATAAACTCATGGCCGCCATAGTTGCGACCTGCAACAGGAAGAAGCGGGAAAAGCAACGGGAGCCGAGAGAGTCAATTTACCAATGAAGTTGAAGTTGATGGGCAACCATGTTGAGTAAGGGCAAAGGCTAGTACAGTTCTTTTCTATTCGGTTTGAGGCAGCGGAAATGACGATTTGTTGGCGGAAACAGGGTTTGCTTAGCTGTGCAGGGGTGGGGGAGAGAAAAATGGCATTGGCCAGTGTGGCTACTCTTTGTAGAAGAGTCTCAGTAGTCCTGAAGGTTTCTGGGCCATTAATAACGGCTAAGGCCCCTGCTGGCACAGGGTAAGTGAATATAACGTAGCTTTGTCCACCGCTCTAACTTTGTTTGGTTGCTGAGATCCCGAATGCTCAGGGAGGGAAGGATCGGCTAAATGGCAGAGCCCAAACCCGCCTCTGTGAGGAATAAGTGACCTTGGAGAAGTTGCCCACCTCTGGTAGCTCGTCCCTTCCACATTTTGTTGCAGCCTTCTGTAGACCAAGCAGTAGATGGGGTTTGTAGATGCTCTGTATTTGTTGAAGGTACAGAGCCATTCTCTTGGGCTGGGTAGGTTGGGGAAAAGTCACCGAAGAGCTTTTGCTATGGAACTAACGGCTATACCAGATTTAGATAGATAAATAACAAGGGAGCTTTGTACTGTCAGGTTCTGTCGCAAAGAGGGTTCAAAGTAGGGCATGGTGGCTCATTCCTGTAATCCCAGCACTCGGGAGGCTGAGGCAGGAGGATTGCCGCCAGTTCCAGGACAGCCTGGGCTACATAGTACGTTCAAGGTCAGCCTGAACTACAAAGTGAGACCCTGTCTCAACAAACACCAAAGAAATTGTTCAGCATATATTAAGTCAATACCCAAAGTTAGCCAGATCAACATAAAAGCTTCCCTGCAAGTGTGAGAAAGGAACATCATAGAAGTGTTTATTTTTTCAGGTGGAAAGACAACATGTGTTCTGGTCAGACCAGTCATTTTTTAGTTATGATGTATGGTTTCCCGAATTTGATCCCCAGTAAAAAAAAAAAAAAAATCAAACCAATAGAAAAATTAGGATTAGTACAAGGAATAACCATATATTCTTCACCTATGTTAGCCAATCGTTAACCTTTTGTCACATTTTATCACTTTATATTTATGCTCTTTTCTCAGCTATTTGAAGTATGTCAGATTACAAACATCATGTTGCTCCAGCATCTTCTAAGAACAAGGACACTGCCTTACTAATCACAATACAATAATTACACTTGGGAAATTTAATTAATATCTTACTGCTATTGCAGTACTATTTATAGTATATGGCCAAATTAAGATTGACCTGGTGAATTCTTTTTCTTATTGATTCAAGATTCAGTGAAGGATGATCTACTACATTTTTTAGTTGTCTTGTTTCCTATAATCCAAAACACTTTCTTTTTTACACTTTAATGATGTTGGCATCTTTTTATAAGATTAGCTGTTTTAGAATACCCCTCCATTTGGGTTTGTCTGATTGCTTCCTCATAGTTAGATTCAAGTTAAATAATCTTGGTAGGAAAATAACACTTGGGATACATTTCACTATTTTGTTTTGAAATCATTTCCCCAGGTTATTAAATATTTTGAACATAATTTTTAGATTATTGCAAAATAGATAACCATGCAGATACATAATAATTTTAATAATTTTTAAAGTTTACTGCTTCTGGTACAGAAATACCAAGTAAGTTTTTGTGAACACTAAAGAGAAAATGATTCGCTTTATTTCTTATAAAATCCAAATATTGTTAAAATTTAGTAACTTGTTTATATGTGCTCCTTTGCAGGTTTTCTCTTAGTTTGTTACCTAACAGTGCACCGAATGTTGCATCCTTTAATCAGTGTAGATTACTTCATACCACTTTGTCAAGAAGAGGCCTGGAAGAATTTTTTGATGACCCAAAGAATTGGGGGCAAGAAAAAGTGAAATCTGGTGAGCTATTTGGGTTGGTCGATAGTGAATGTTTGTTGAAACCTCGATTATTCTTGAATTACTTGTCCAGTTTAGTAATTATGTAGCTGTTTCTTTTTTTATTTCCTTTGGACCATTAGGTCATTATAATAATAGAGTTAGTTGTGCCTTGGCAGGTTGCAAAACTTTTGAAGAGGAATAAATCAAAAGTATTAACTAAAGTGAGATTTAAGGCCAGGGATGTAGCTCAGTGGTGCTGCATCTGCCTGGTAAGCACAAAGTCCTGAGTTCGATTCCCAGTACCAAAAAATTAAAATTGAAATTAAAAACCAAGTGACATTTAGAGTTTAGATTCCCAATTTAAGTGGTAATTGAAAACTAATTTGTAATGACAAAATATTTTGATAGATTGTGAAAATACATTCACTGTTAATGCTGATAGTCTTAAAATGCTATTGCCTGTCTTGTTACTAATATTTTCATAATATTTCATTGAATTCCAATCATGCATAGTAGTACAGCTATATATTTTACAGATAAGAAAGCAGGTTTAAAGAGGTTAAGTAGTTTACCAAGGGCACATAGCTAGGAGCATTATTTCATGTTATGAATTTATTTTAATAGGAGCTGCATGGACCTGTCAGCAATTAAGGAACAAAAGTAATGAAGATTTACATAAACTTTGGTGAGTATAGCTAGGTATTTGAAGCAGTTATAATATAATAGTGAAGTAAAAATGCTACATCTTTCTGATGTAAGAAATGAAGTGATCTGTCTTGTCATATTGCGGATGATACGTGTCTGGTGGTGAACCTGTGGCACACATGCCAGAGCCCTGTTGACTTGAGAGCCAAGTCCTCCCAGCATCACCCCACAACCGAGCATCAGATAACAGCACACATAGGGCTGGTGTTGGCCATAAATAAGTGGATTTTGGGTTGCAGTTTGGGCACTCAGTCTCTAAAAGGAACATATGTATATATGTTCCATAACGTCTTGAGAGAGTTAATAAATATGACAGAGGTGAGATTACATTAAGACAATATATCACAGTTCTTATGTAGTTGGGAGTTTGGAAATTTTATTGTAACTGATACTAATTAATGCTTTCATCCTAGTAATTTGGGTAAACGAGGAAAATAAAAAGGGGAGTAGTTGGTCACATACATGACTGCCTTCCTTTTTGTTGCCTTTTTCATTGTCTGGAGTCTTTAGCCTCTTAGTTTGGGGGTTTATGTTGGAGGGTGCCTTTCCTGGGCATTGAGGTAGACCTTTCAGGCAGGTTCTCATGAATTTGAAGTTAAGAGAATTTAAGACAAAGTTGCTTCCTTAATTGACTGTATTGAGCCCAAAGATATTTCAAACAAGGATTCTTGTTTAAACCATACCTGTTTTGAAAATTGAGTATTTCACACAAACTTAAAAGACTTTGGTTTCTCTGGAATGGTCAGACTATGGTCTAGTAACACTGCCCCTATGTTCCTGCATGACAACAATTAACTTATCCTTCCAGATGTCCCTTCTAGATTTGTTATAGAGAAATTAGTTGTGTTAAAGGACTTTTAACTGTGAGTTGTCAGGAAAGGGAGTTAGGGCTGTTTTAGCTTTTATTGTGGCTAAAACCAAACAATCCCCCACTCCTTCCCCCTAGATTGTCTTTTTTCATAACATAAAGTACCCCAGTTCCTCTGTCTTGTTTTCAGTGCCCTCTACATTTATTTCCTTTCTGTTCTTTCAACTCTTAATTCTAAACCATTATATTCACAGAACCCACCCCTACGTAAGCTCCGCTGCTTCAGTTCTTTCGATTATGGTTGCTTTGCTCACCCTTCCTTCTACCAAATCCCGTCTCCTCTGAATCTTTGCAGGTCATCTGAACCAAGAACAGATGTCTGTTTCTCCCACTTACTTGCCCTGGTACTTGATTCTCCCACCCACATCACTTTACAGTTTTGGAGCATGATAGAGTAAAATATAGAATTGGTTTTGCATACGGGGAATAAGATTTGAGTCTGGAATTAGCTATGTGGTCCAGAATATCTCACTTTTCTCAGCCTTACTTCATTTAGAATGAGGAAATAACACTAAGCTCGATGTATTGTTGTGAGAATTAAATGAAATAGTTTACATAAAATGCTTCACACTGGCATAACACGGATACGCAATAAATGTTATTTAGCTTCTGTTTTCCTTTTCTCTCCACTGGGAGCTCTTTAAAAAATATGTTTTTTTGAACAAATGAAGAAGCAAAGAGTTTTTCTTTGTAATGATAATCTGTACATCAAGATTTCTAAAGGGCTTTCAAGTATAGATTCTTCATTTTGATATCAAAGCCACAACTTTTTTAACTTACCCACTGAACAGCATTATAGACATTATGTTCTCTGATACAGGTACGTCTTACTGAAAGAAAGAAACATGCTTTTAACTCTAGAACAGGAGTCTAAGCGGCAGCATTTGCCAATGCCAAGTCCAGAACGGTTAGAAAAGGTAAGGCCTGTGGGAGGCTGGTTGTTCTTGTGCAGGGTAAAAGCTAAAAGGGATCACTGTGTGTTTCTTTATTCCTTGTCAGATAGGTTCATATTTTTATATTTCTGTTTCACTTTTAGATATTTACAGCTATGTAGCGGTCAAGACTGTCTTACTTTAGAACATTTCTGTCATTTGCCAAAGAAATCTCATACCCATCTGTAGTCGCTCCATTGCTGTCTGCAGCCCCCAGCATATGGGTGCATGTGTGTTTTTATTTCTCTTGAGTGGACGCCAGGAGTGAAGGTGCAGGGTCGTATGGTAGGTCTCTGTTTAGCATTGTAAGAAACATGCAAGCCATATTCTGAAGCAGCTGTACACAGGGAGAGCTTGTGCTTGGCATGTAGGACCCCTGGATTCAATCCCCTGCCTCCAAAAAGTAAAAAAAAAAAGGTAGCTGAACCAGTGTACATTTCTAGCTGTAGTCGACCGCTTCCTCACCTACTAGATCAGTTTTTAATGTATTAAAAAAAAAAAAAAACACATAACATAAAATTTACCATTCTAACTATTTTTAAGTGTACAGTTCAGTAGTGTTAAGTGTATTCACATGGTTTTGGAAAAGTCACTTATTATCTAAGTTTTCTTTGTGATTATAAAAAGAATCCTGTGTTCCTATTCCCATTCTCAGAGATTATCAGTCTTTGTGTTTTTTATTTATCGCTCAGAATTTTTCTACACTTGTCTAAGTGTATTTAATTATTTTTACTTACCCAGATTTGTTTTTACCATATGTTTTTCCTGCAACTTACATTTTTTTAACAACCTAGTATATCCTGGATTTCTGTATATGTAGATCTATTGGCCCTTTTTTATTCTTACCATGTTTAAAATATTTTTCTCATGTATGAGACATTTTGTTTTTATTTAGATTTGTAAATTTTTTCCTAGATTGGTTTCAAAGTGAACAGTTTATTGTATTGTAAGGAGTCAGTGAGACTGTTTCTGTAACAACTCTAGTCCTGCTGCCTGACCTCAGCTACTTTAGTACTTTCCTTTCCCTACGCTGGTCACAACCATTTGGCTGTATGGCCTTTAAGATGGAAAGACTTAGCACATCTGGAAAAAGCAAAAGAAAGCATGCAATAAAATCTCAAGTATTTACTGTAATTACCAAGAACGTGATTCTGGCTTAGTGAAAGCTAACTATATAGCATTTTGGGATTTCTAAGCTTCATTTTGACATAATAGACTTTAAAAAGTTAGAAAAATAATATAAATAATTTTTAATGCAAGAGATCCTCTTTTTTTTTGGAACCGTGGATTGAACTCACATCCTTGCACTTGCAAGGCAGGTGGCAGAACCATTGAGCTAAATCCCCGGCCCAGTGTAAAGAATTTTTGAACAGGAAATTAACATGAATGTAATAGTACACTTTATATAGATCTTACTCAGATTTCATCAAGTATCCCAATAATGTTTTTTTGTTTTTGTTTTTGTTTTTTGCGACAGGGTCTCACTATGTAGTTGAGACTGAACTGGAGCTCATGATGTAGCCCAGGCTGGTCTCGAACTCACAGCAGTCCTCCTGCCTCAGCCTCCTGAGTGCTGGGAATAATGTTTCTTATAGCAAAAGAAAATCCTGGATCATGCATTTTCAGTTTTTGTCTCTTTAGTCCCCTTTAATCTGGAGACTCAGCCTTTTGTTGTTTGGTGTTTTGTTTTGTTTTGTTGGATTTTTGAGACAGTCTCCATATGTAGTTCAGGCTAGCCTTGAACTTGTGGCAATCCTCCTGCCTCAGCCTCTTAAGTGCTGGGATCACAGGCGTGCACCATAGCCTAGCTCATTGTATGTGCAATTGATGTTTTTGAAGTGAATAAGCCAATCCCTCTTTAAGTTTGTCTGGTATTTCTGTAATATTGACAGGCGTATCCCAGAAAGAATGGCTGCTATCAAGAAATCAACCAATAACAAATACTGGAGGGGTTGTGGGGAGAAAGGAACCCTTCTCCATTGTTGGTGGGAGTGCAGACTGGTACAACCACTATGGAAATCAGTGTGGAGATTTCTCAAATAACTAAAACTAGAGGTTCCTTTTGACCTAGCTGTACTTCTTGATATCTTCCCAAAAGAATTAAAAACATCATTCCACAGTGATATATGCATATCAGGTTTAGCAGCACAGTTTGTAATAGCTAAATCTTGGAAGTAGCCCACATGCCCATCAACTGATGAGTGGATAAAGAAGATGTGTTTTTGTAATATACAGTGGAGTACTACTCTGTCATAAAGAAGGATTAGCTTGAGATAGGCCTTGAGAACCATACTTTTTTTTTTTGTACCGGGGGCCAAACTTGGGCCCTTGAAGTTGCAAGGCAGGCAGCGGAACCACTGAGCCAAATCCCCAGCCCTGAGACCATACTCTTAAGTGAAATACATCAGACACATATGTTTAAATACTGCATTGTTTCTCTGGTGTGAGAAACTGAATGTGGAAATAAGGACTGAGATGTATAATGGATGTTGGGAGATGGGGAAAAAGTGTTCAAATGGAAAGGAGAACAAGGGAGGAGGGAGGGGGGAAAGGCAGGAAGTGGCAGAAGAGAAGTGAAAATAGAAGGAAAAAATGGAAACAAAGCTTTTGTACATAGAGAAGGAATGGGGCTTGTGGGGTCAGCGAATAAAATACAATGTAGTTTTTAAAATACTGACAGGAGGATCATAGAAATGGTGCTCTGGTGTTCAGAGTGCATCCGACCTGGAGGTCCAGGACGTTACTTAGTTTTCTTCTTGATGAGCATCAATACCTTGGTGAAGGTGTTGTCTGTCAGGTTTCTCCACCATGTAGTTACTAATTTTTTCTTCATATCTAAATAAGAAACACTTATTAGGAACTACTTTGAGATCATGCAAATGTCCTGTAACTCCTCAACATCCACTCGCTGGCTTTAGCACCCACTGATGAGTCTTGCCTGAATCAGTTACATTTGCTAAATAGCAGTTATCAAACCCCAGAATTCATTCTGCATCTATTAGTTAGCTTTCTTCTGTAAGAAAAGGCTTTCTCGTTACCAGTGTAGGCTCTGCATTCCAACTTTATTCAGTGAGCTATTCTCCTTTAATATCATCATCCCAGACCTGGCCAGTGTAAGTTTCTTCAAGCTAGGCCTTTTGCCCTCATTGCTCTTTGATGGGTTTCAAGCTGCTCTGGGTGTAATTGGTTACTTCCTTCCCCCGGCTCTGGAATCAGCCACTTTACACAGGCACCTATTTTTAATGGAAAGTGTCATAGAGACTACTAATACCTGGGTGCTAGGGACCTCGTTGCAACATGACATTTATGAAGTAATTGATTTATTGCCAGGTACATTTGCTAACCCTGCGTTTGAGGGAATTTGGGTTTTAGAGAATTTTAAGTGCACTGACATGAAAGGATCCTTTATAAAATGTTACTTGACAAAAAAGGTTTTTTTGCCAGGATAATGCTATTACTGACCTTCAATAATAGATTATCCCTTCTTCCTGCTTTAAGCATATATTTCAGTAGGTAATCAAAATCTAAAATGTTCCAGAATCCAAACTTTGAGTATAGGTGTGATGGTCACTGTGTATTTCTGATCTTCTTTCTCATATGTTGGCATAAACATTTGAATGTTAACTCTGTGGACTTGGTAGCCATCTGATTTGTATCTCATGAGATAGCATTTAGGAGCCTCATGCCCTACCCTGGTTTGGGCACACTTCAATACAGTCCTCAAGTCAATTTACTAAAAATTCCTGAGGGTTGTAGAGCTTTGTGTCCAGCTCCTACTAGTGTTTTTTCTTCACTCCCTTAGATTTTCTGTCTTCAACCTAGGATTTGTCAGCCATTCATGGTGGTGCACACCTGTGATCTCAGTACTCAAGAAGCTGAGGCAGGAGGATTGTGAGTTTGAGGCCAGCCTGGGCTACATAATGAGTTGTAGAAAAACATATATTTTTTTTAAAAAAAACAAAAAACTGGTGTTATCCTTTTTTTATTTCTCAAGCATGTTGTATAAATTTACCCTGTTGAGAGGAAGGCATGAATCGGCTACTGTAAGATATTGAGTGAAAATTTGGAACAGCAGAAGTGCTGAGCCTCAGCTGATTTGTTGAAATTTGTGGGTGATGAGCTTCTGGCGGATGTAGTTGTTACTTGGAGGAAGCAGCATCTGCACCTGCAGTACTAGAAGGTGTTCCCACTGACAGTAAAAGCAAGGACGGAGTCCTGTTGGATGAATTCGGATTGCCGCAGATCCCTGCTTCATGGACTTGCATCATTCCAGTACATCACATAAAATAAATGCGTGTTCTGGGACTAGGAAATATTTCCAAATTTGCAACAGATTTCAGTTTTCTTTCCTTTTTTGAAGGAAAGGTTATACTGCCTTTTTTTTCCCCCCATTAAGAAACTCATTGCTTGGAGGAAGCTTTCTTTGTACTAAAATTCGATTCTTTCTCTCTTAGGAAAGACTAACTTAAAAGAATCTTTGGCTTTGTATGACTTGTTTTCATTCATTAATAACTGAAATAAAGTCAAGGAGACAAGAATCTTTAGTAAGTTCTACGAGAGTATAACTTTACAGTTTCAGTGTGACCTTGATAAATTGATAATATAAAGATGAGATTTTTGAGGCTGTTCATATTATGTTTCAACACTATTTTCTATGTGGTATTCTAGGTGGCTGAAAGATGGTGTTTTTTTATAGGTTTTGTGGTGTCTTGTGAACAAATTACTGTGTCCAGTACTGGAATGGAATTGTCACTACTATATCAAGAGTGGATGTTTTAATTCTGTGGTTTCTTCAATATTACAGCTTGACTTGTAATCAATAATGAATATTTCTTGATAATTAATGTATAGGAAGGACATTTATTTATACTCAATAAATATTTTTCAAAAGAAAAAAATTTGTGGGGCCGGGGATTTAACTCAGTGGTCCCACCACCTGCCTCGCAAGCACAGGGTCCCAAGTTTGATCCCCGGTACCAAAAAAAAAAAAAAACTACAATAAACTTGTGGCTTTCACATCTTCATCAGATCTCATACTGGCTACCTGCAGAGGGTGGGTTAGCATAATCTAAACTTTTTTTTTAAAAGAATTTTTTTTTTTTTTTTTGGTACTTGAGGTCAAATTCAGGACCTTGTGCTTGTGAGGCAAGTGGTGGCACCACTGAGCTAAATCCCCAGCCTGAAGTATTTTTATAAGAAACATATATATTTACTTATATACAGCATTTGATATCTGTGGTAATGCTCAAGGATAAAACACATACCTTCCTAAAAATGGCTTTCAGTATTTTAATACTGAACAAATTTCTCTCATATGACATTATAATCCCCAATATGAATATTTCTGTACAAATAACTATTACTCTACCAGGATATGTACATTAAAATCATACCATAGGAATCTTCAAGAAAGGGATAAAAACAAGTAAAACTTGTAGTACTGTCTTCTTACAGCTTGGGGGATCTTTGAGATTACTCTAAAATCAGGATGGACTGATACTACTTTCCCTGTAGTAAGAAGAGCTGCCAAGCAGGGTGCAATATCTGGGTGAGAATGTGAGGAAAATGGTGATTAGTTGAGGCCAAAAACATGTTTTTTAATATAACAAAAGTAACAAACTATTACCACTTATTATTTCAGTGAATTTTGAAATGGCATGTGCTAAATTGAGTCTCCAAAAGGAATTTAGGCAAGTATATGCCACACCAAGCAGAAGTAATACATGGAAATCCAAGCTAAGTAAATTTTCATTTAAACAAAGCCAAAGCATTTTAAGAGTTACAGAAAGTAATATTAGGGACACCAGTGAACACATACCTGGGCCAAAAAAGGTTTTTAGGAAGCACTTCGTGGTAGTTCCTTGATAAACATTTTGATCATAGATCATCTGTAGCACAAATCTGTATATTCTTTTTCTTTGGAATATTTATAGGGGGATGTTGAAATTGAATCTTTCTGTTCTTTTATCAGGTAGTTGATTCCATGGATGCATTAGATAAAGTTGTCCAGGAAAGAGAAGATGCTTTGAGGCTTCTCCAGACTGGTCAAGAAAAAGCTAGACCTGGTGCTTGGAGAAGAGACATCTTTGGAAGAATCATTTGGTACCCAGATTACACTGTGACTCTTCTGAGATGAGAGCGGAGATCCTATATCTCATTCCCCTGCCCAGAATTTTTTAAGAAAACTTAAGCTAGCTACTGATAGTCCCAGCTTCTCAGGAGGCTGGAACAGTAGGATCACAAGCTGGAGGCCAGCCTGGGCCACTTAGCAAGATCCTGTTTCAAAATAAAATAAAAAAGGGCTGGAGATATAGGTCAGTGATGGAACAGTTGCCAATACTGCAAAAGGGGAGAAAGACAGACAGGCCATGTGAGATAGATATATTCAAGGTGTATCTTATGTAAGAGAAGATCACAACTACTTTAGAACACCAAGATACATGAATGAAGGCAGCTCTGTATGGTTAAAACCAATACTAGCCCAGACATCCCATTCATATCATTGTTACAATATATGTAGTGGGTTGTTAATAAGTGATTCATATCTTGAGTCATCAGACCTTTTGAAATTTTGATGAAAGTTATGGATCTTTTCCCTAGAAAAATATATACATACCATTTCAGAAGATTTTAAAGCTGATTTTAGGACTTCGCCCTGCCATCTTTGCCCATGAAGAATCCATGAGTATTTTTTAAAAGAATTTCTTGAGGAATAAGGTCAAATGAACCACTTTCAGTTTTCTCGCGGTACCATAAGAAAAAGGTGTAGGCCAAATTATGTAACAGTTACTGTTTTGCTTCCTTCTGTGTGCTACATATAGTTCTCAGTCTTGCCAGGCACTGGGAGAAATGAAAGTGAAAATAATTGAGAAAGCCTAAGCTAAAAATGTGAGAGTTTACATTTTGGTTGAGCATCTAAAATGTAGTTTTGTCAGTACCTTAAACATCAGCAAAATGAAGAGTACACTGGATAGTTAGAGAACTTTCCCGGTTTCTTGAAATTACACCACATAGCAGTACTTACTCATTCCCTAAGTTCTTTCAGTGGAGTTTATAGTAATAGCAACGCTCAGCCATTTTTAGGGCAGTAGTTGTGCTGTCTGTAATTGTCCAATCCAACACAGAAAAGAGAAATTGCCAAAATGTCTCACTAAAAAGCTTTTCTAGGGCCTACGGATGTAAATCAGTGGTGGAGGGCTTGCCTACCAGGTATAGGTTTGATCTCTAGAACTGCAGGCAAACGAAACAAAACTTTTAAAAGTTTTATTTTCTACTAATTTTTATTTGAGTTAATTCCTTTGACATCAATTAGGAAAAGGTGGAAAATTAGGAAAATAAAAATGCTGTTTTCTTTGAAGGAAATACCTTTTTTTCTGTCTTTGCAGGCACAAGTTCAAGCAGTGGCCTATACCTTGGTACCTAAATAAAAGATACAACAGGAAACGATTCTTTGCAATGCCTTATGTGGATCGTTTTATCAGGTGAGCACAGATACTTAGTAGTGAAACAGTCATTATCTCTACATCAGATATGTGTCAGATTTTCTTTACATTTTAGTTTCTATTATGTAAATATTACATGTTCATTGTGGGAAAAAATAGGATCAGGTAAAAATAAAAAAGTCATATATACTCTAACCATTGAGAAATAGCCACTGTCAGCACCATACATATCCTCTTGAAAGTTACATTACCTGTTTATCTACCTGTATGCAAATAGATGGGAAATCCTACTGTAATGTTAAAATGCATATCCAAATAACTCAGGTCCATAACGAGCTTATGATTGCAAGGCTAATGAAAATATCTAGGTAAAGAATTCTGTTGCATCCATTGTGTCTGAATTATGCTGTCCTACAAATACTGATCTCCGCATATTTCCTATAGCAGATTTGTTTTAACCCATTTATGCCAGAGATTAAAGGTTTTTTTTAGTTTTTGCGTGAAATTCATATGTTACCTAGAAAAACTGAAGGAACAAGAATTTGCACTTGATCTTAGCCAAAAGGCCGAGAAGCGATAGGAACAAGAATTTGAAGAGAACACATTTCATTATGTTTCCGTTATGGGCCTTCCAAAAATGGATTACTAAGCATTGATGAGTTAAGTTGATTGTTGAATAGGGAAAATACAGGCCTTCCTTTGTGGTAGAAAAGGGAAGTGGTCCCAAGAACCACCAGTTGGTAATTATGAAAACTAAATAAGGTATTTAAAAAGAGCTATTTAAAACACTGGGTCCATATCCAAAAGCAGACAGAAACCAGAGAATTTAACCCCAAAGCTGCAAATAGAGGGGAAAGAATGGCAAGTATGTGGTTTCTTACTCCCACTGCTGTGTCCGCAGAGATGCAGGGTTTCTGGCTAACCTGCTACAAATAAAAACTCGAAGGAAAACAGCTGAAGGTTAACTTCAACAACTGCCTTGGATCGTACATCTTAGTTTCAGCAAGGACTCTTCCAAAACTGACCTTTTCCCCCAAAGGCTTGTTTCCATACTCCACACAAAAAAATTAAATAAACTTTTTTAACACAAATGGAATGTATCTTAGCGTTACAGTGTTTAGTGTCAGTTTAAATTTTCCGTCTTCCCCACTGAACTGAACCAGCGAGCTCATTGTACCTGTAGTGTATCCATCCTGTGTGGGCACCAAGGGCCATCACTCATCACCAGCTCTCTACGGGCAGTAGTCAGTACTTAGTTCTGCAAAGCGTCTCCAGGATCTGTCTCTGCCCTCCTCATTAACTCGAGGTACAGCACCTGCTCCCTGGCTAGTTTTCCTCAAGCATTTATCACATCAGTGCTCTTCAGAAATAGTTGCTTCTTGTCTGGCGAAAAAAATACAAAGTCTTCCCCATGCAGTGTTCCTGCAGTTTAGACTTTGCTACTTTTTTCTTTATAGCTATAAAAATACCAAGCTGGTACAAAGGTACACGATACGATTATTGTACGAATCCATACATTATGGTCCCTAAACACTTATATACTAATGGCTGTTTTCCTTCATGGTTCAGGGCAAGTTTAGATGGCTGGTGTTTGTAAGGGCCCAACTTTTCTTACTTTCTACTCAGCCAGTCTTTTCCACAGTCTTGCCGGATGTTTTGTTTGCCTCTCCCTCTTGCTGCTGTATTTGACAGGTTTCATTTTCTAGTTGCACAATAAGTCCGTTCAGTCTCGTAGTTCTTACTGACCTGGGACACGCAGTTTGACTCCCTTTCTCTCAATTTAGATCTAGCTGTGAGTTTTATGTTCTTCCACTGCCAGTTTAAATCTTGAATACATTTCCTTAACTTCTGAAGCTCTGTACATGTTCAATCATATGAACTAGGTTTTCGTTATATACTTTCCAGGCATTATTACATCCATGCTGCGACATTAGCTCCAGATTCTCAAACTGCTTGGTTCTCTAACTGGGCCATAGAATTGTTCACACATTCTTGCCATGCAGTAATGTCATTTTTCTGACCTGAGGAAGGGGCTGGAAACTCCTATCGTTTCATACTAACAATTCAATTGGTTGTTGAGCAGCCAGTCTTTTCAGTTTCATTTCTCATTATGTCAGTTTTGAAAGCAGAATAACCCGGGGCTGTTAAGTAGCTCGGGTAATTCTTGGTAAGGCTGTATCTGCGTGTTTCCTGCCAATGCCGCAGCCCTTTCTGCATGTCTAGCACCTCACAGCCTTCAAACTATGGCAGCACATCCTCTACTACCTCTCCAGCCACCAACCCTGTTCTACCAACCCCGTTCCTGCCATGGCAGAGAACATACTCGTGTCTGCAGTATTTACTCTTGAAAGTCGTATCTGTCACCTTATTTCTTAACATCTTACTCATTTTCTGTTTTTATTTTTGTTCCTACAGCTTTGAAAGCTTTCCATCTATTCACATTTAAGAACTGGTTTGAAGCAGCCGGGTGTGGTGGCGCACGCCTGTAATCCCAGCACTCAGGAGGCTGAGGCAGGAGGATCACTGTGAGTTCAAGACCAACCTGGGCTACATAGTGAGTTCCAGGTCAGTCTAAACTACAGTGAGACCCTGCCACAAACAAACAAAAGAACTGGTTTGATGCTGATTGAAAGATATGAGTGCACTGGCTTTTTTTCCAAGCCCAACGTTGAGCCATTTGGTCCTTTTGGCCTCTTAGAAATTAAGGTGAAGCTATACATGACTTTTAAAATATATGAAAATATGTCAATCCAGTGCCACATTTATAAGCTTAATACGTATTCTACAATTTCATTTTTAAAACTTTAGTTTTCCATTCAGGGAATGTAGCATAGTCTTCAAAATATTAATAGCAAACCTTTATTGTTTAAATGGTAAAAAAAAGGTCTAATTGGAGCAAATATGGATGAAATAATTTCAGCTGTTTAGTCTTTATACTTTTCTAACTATGTCAGGTGTAACTTATCTCCAGTTTGTGATCTGACAGTACTAGTGTATTGTAATTATTCAGTGTCTCTTCATTGTATTATTATAGTTTAAATAAGCAGATAGGACACTGAAATACTCACTTAAGCACCTCAGAGACTTGGCACCCATGAATTTATCATCTTCAATTTCGATGATACCAAGTGGCCCTACAGGTCAGGATAACTGAGCTGAGGTGCAAATCCTTCATGCCCTGGGACGCTGATGTGGGAACAGACTCCTTTAGAAAGTGCTAAGTCTAACCAGTGCCCACGCATCATCTCAGCATGGTTTTATTCCGTGTGTAGCGATAGCCAGGGTGAGTGCTATTGGAAATCAGGTAATCCCACAAGTTCTGAGAAACATAATAGGATCGAACCTCAGGCCCAGTCTGTGACAGGCTTGTAAGATGTGGACGTTTTCCAGTCACAAAGTAGGATCCATAGTTAATTCAGATACAGGTGCTTTTGATTTCAACATTTGTCTCTTGTGTACATGTATAGTAAATATTAAAGTTACATAGTGCATCAAATAGATTAATATGATTCAAGCCTTTATGTAATTGATTAGGATATATATAGCATTAAATAAAAATTACTGTTATGCTTTTATTATTCTAGACTGAAAATTGAGAAACGAGCCCGCATTTCAGCAAGAAAGAAATCTTTGGAAAAAAAGAAACAGAAAACTCTAGAAGAAAAGTTTCCGCATCTTGCTGAAGCCCAGAAATCAAGTCTTGCCTAAAAATTTTCTAATTTTTTTCTTGCATAGTAGTCTGTATACAAAAATATATATTAAGTGGCTTATAAAAAATTTTTAATCAAATGACTTAGCAGTTCTAAAGGTTAACATGGCATGTGAATTCTGAAAATGATCTTGCTTCTACCACATTTTTTAAAAACCAAGTATAAAGGGCAGGGGATTCAGCTCAGTGGTTCTGCCACCTGCTTCGCAAGCATAAGGTCCCAAGTTTGATCCCCAGTACCAAAAAAATCAGGTATAAAGTCCAGACCAAATTGTCATCTTAAAAATTCTGACATCTGTGCATGCTTTAATGTCACCTGCTGTCTAATAGTCAAAGCAAAGGCAGTAAAGTAATTTTGGAATTCAGACACCATTTTTACTCTTACTATTAATAGACTATGAAGAGGATGGGAACTACTATTAATCTGAATACTTTCATCAAAATAATGATAGATACTTGTGTTTAAAAGTAGCAAATCAAAATATACAACAATCAGAAAATATTTCTGGAATGGCTGGTAATTTTTATTTAATTTTATAAGCCTAAGGTAAAAAGCATAGGCAATAACTTTACAAGTCAATAAAAAGCAATTCTACCATTCACTGGTAATTAATATACTAAGCAGAGTTGGAAAGCATTTTACTGAAAGCAAAATATTTAGAGAAAATAGAGATTTATACAAAATTATAAAATGCTCAATCAGAATAAGTGCATTTCAAGGAACACACAAACTCATTTTAATATAGAGCTAGTTAAAGCCTTAAAAATTTTAAGTGGAAATTGAAGTATGCAAAAATGTATAAACATTCTACAAAAGATGGTAGTTCTTTCCTGAGTATACTAAAGCTATGAAACGTAAGGTGACACAGGAAGGTTGAGTTCTGGGAAGTCTTTTAAGGGCATTTCCTTTCTACACACTGCTTCCCTCCTTCTTCATATTCTTGTTTGGAAATCCACATCTGTTGAAAGGTACCCTGGAAAATGGAAATACGTAATTATGCCTGCCTTAGGAGAAAATACTTTTTATATATTTTGATAATGCAAACTTTGAACCCTTAAACTCCCTCCCCCAAAACAGAACTCCATTACTCTCTCATTTCTTCCCTCCAAAACTATCCAAAGATCTCATCGCCTTGCCTTTCAGGTTTACAAAAACATTAACTCATTCTCCACCTGTTACACTGTGTAGCACCTGTGAAATGGGCAGGAAGCAAGTAATGTGGCCGTGATGGCTCTGTGCCATCGTAAGGCAATAACAAGTTTTCAGGAGGCCTAAGAACTTTGTGACATTTTCTTCAGCCGTTCCAAGGAAAATGGGAAGTGCCTCCAAGTTTCAGGTCCAAAAAAAACGACTTTTTCTCCTAATTCAAGGCAGACTCCAGTACAGGACCCACCACAGTAACTTCTTTTGCCCAAGAACCAAATCCTGACTTCCAACATACTTCACCAACAGACCAGGGAAGAGCCCAGAACTAAATTACTTCATTTTAAATATACTACAAACAAATCCTAGCCATTGCCAACGGGGGTATTAAGAGGCATGAATGTGTTCACATTTCTGCCTGTTTTGCGGGAGGAAATTGAAATTAGTCTAACAAATATCCAATAATAAGGCAGTCATTTTGTTATATCAAGACATAAAAAACTGGTTTTTTATGGTCCTTCACTCATCTGAAAATTATGAAATACAAAGGATAAATGAAACACTGGAATTCTTAATTCAAGTAAGAATCTTTAAAACTGTTTTTGTCATTTACTAACCAAAGAAGCTAGAATGGAGCCACCAATCCATGAACTAAACCTCCGTTCTACTGTTGTGTTATTTGCAATCAGTTTCAACCGCATACTCTAAAGTAGAGGGGAGAAAAGTATTAGTACAATTGAAACAATGGATTCAACTTAGGAAATCAAATTTTGCCAGTTTTTTAGCTAGCATTTAGATCCTATAAGAGAAAACATACTACCATAAATACAGTACTATGCTAAGTGCCTTGTACAACAACATGTACAATTACCCCAGCCTGCCTCCCTTTCTGCAATGCTGCCCTTCCAGGTCTCAGGCTACCCTAACCCTCCCTTAGTTCACCAGACTGCAATCATCATGTCTCAGGTAAGACTGAACTGCTTTCCTTCCAAATTAGTGCTTCTGTTTTGAATTCACTCTCGATACTCTCATAGATCACTGTTACCCCTCATCTTATTTCCTATGTCCAGCAATTTTCCTCCCTACCTAGGGATCTGCCTAGAAGTTCTCAAGTTGTTAATACCTCCCCGTTATTACACATATGAACGTACAGTTTGAGTCTTTTTCACTGTATGTGGCAGGAGTAAGGTATGAGATATGGGAATCAATGCTGGGAATGGAACCCAACGCTTCACACGTTAGAGACACACTGCTACCGTGGCTCCGTGAAATCTAATGGCGTGTGTTTCAGGTACACTCTAGATGAGACTGTAGCTCCAAGAATGTAAGACAGAGCAGATGTCAACCTTGTGGCTGTATCAATATTCAAATACCACTCAACTACAAAAATATGCCATATATAAAATATTTTAATATAAGAAGCCAAAAGACTATCAAATATACACATTCTATGGATTTGTTAGGGCCCATGTAACTCTTCATAAATTTATTTTTCAAGTTAACATTTAGTGGCATCTTAGAAAAAATACTTGATAAAACTTTTTAAATTATGACCCCTAGTTTTTTCTATCCCTTTAAAAGTTGCAGCCTGTGATCTTTTTTAAAACATACACCATTTTAAAACATTCATCAGTGCTCTGCCAGATTTTATCCTGTTGAAGTTTGCCGAACAAAATCCAAAACATTGAGTAAGGCACACCCTGCTATGTATCAGTTGTGGGTTGACTTGTATCCCCTAAAAAGATACAGTATGTTGAAGTCCTAATCTTTATTACCTAATATGAATATGACCCAATTTTAAGTCTTTGCAGATGTAATTCACATGTATACTGAGATCAATAATGAAGTAGGATGGGCTTTTAATCCCCTGTGACTAGTGTCTTTATTATTTATTTATTTTGGTTTTTTGAGACAGGGTCTCGCTATGTAGTTGAGATTGACCTGCAACTCACTATGTAGCCCAGGCTGGTCTCGAACTCACAGCGATCCTCCTGCCTCAGCCTCCAAAATGCATGCACCATCATGCCCGGCTTAGTGTCCTTTTAAAAGAAGTACCACAGCTAAAAGCTAAGGATTACTGGCAAGCCATCAGACTCTGCAAAGAAGGAAGAAACTGTTTTCCCCTACAGACTGCAGAGAGAAGCTGGCCCTAGTGGCACCCTGATTTCAGATCTGGTCTCCAGTACTGTGATAATACATTTCTCTTGTTTTAAGTCCACCACATTGTGGTACTTTCTTATGGGCAGCCCTAGGAAATTAACACACCATCCATGTTCCCAGCCACATCATTTTCCCCCTTTACCCACATACAGAGCTCTACTGATTACTTTGAATTACTGGAACATAATCCTCCCACCATACTTTTTCTCCCAGTACTGGGGATTGAATCTAGGGTCTTCTCACTCAGCTATATTCCCAGCCCTTTTTTATTTTCGAAACAGGCCAAGTTAAGTTGCTAAATTGCCAAGGCCAGGCTCAAATTTGTGATTCTCCTGCCTCAGTCTCCCAGAATGCTGGATTAGAAAGCTGGATTAGAAAGCTGGATTACAGGTGTATGCCATCATGCCTGGCCCCTATCATACTTTTTTCCATATGGTATTCCCTCCACTTAGTTGTCCTTTTATAAATTAGCAACCACTTGAATTATTCATTCAAATAACTGCTTCTCTATTGGACTTTCCTCTGATAGTCCTAGAGAGTTAAGTGCTTGTTTCTCCGTGCTCTCAGGAGTACCCGGTTCATGACACTAAAGCACTTAGCTCATTACAATCATTTTTTTACATGTCTAACCTTCCAAGTAGACAGAGCCACTGGTGGGCAGGGATTGTTCTTTGTTACCCTAGTGTTTAACACACTATACACACTTAACAGTAAATATAAAGTTAATGAACAAAGTGAAATTCAAATACTTTGAGAAATAGATGTCATTTAGGAAATTCTGATAAGAGATTCCAAGTAATACCACATACATATCTACCTACTGAAAAATGAACCGTTACTTATAAAACTACATCACCGGTGACTGAATGACTGAACTTACTGGAGGAGTTTTCTGAGAAAGCTCTCTATTCAACCTGTCAGTAAAACTCTGTATTAGCGTGTTTCCTCCTGCCACTATCACACTGCCATAGAGACCCTAGGACAAAAACAAGAGAAATAAATTAGATCCAAATGTTTCCAACAGTTTCATCATTTTTTGGTGCTAGGAACTGAACCCAAATTTCCAACAGCTTTAAATAAAACTACAAATAAAACCATACCCTCCACTACAATCTGTACTTCCTTTGCCTGAAAAGTTTTAACTTCTATTCGGAAATAGTAACTCAAATCAGTAGTTTTCAATCCTAGCTGCACATGCAACTCATCCAAGGAGCTTTTACACCACCAGTAATTGAAACAATGAAATTAATACCTCTGGAGATGGGAACCAGGTAAAAACTCCCAGATAATTCTTATGTGCACCTGGATTTAAGAACCACTAACCTAAAAACAATTATTCTAAACATTTTTGTTATAGAGCTGATATTTACCTAGAGGTACGTACATTTTATGATGACTTTAGAATGCTTATCTGGAAGTTACAGCATTTAAAATCAGACAATGGTATTACTTTATGATAATAATAATACACTCCAAGTATATTTCTGGCTAAAATGACTGCCATCTTTTTCTCTTGGAGGATATGCATCAAAACCACATAGGGAGCTTTTTCAAAATACCTATGCCAAGGCCTCACAAGTAAAAAGAAATTCTTAATAATAGGGAATACATTCACTTCTAATTTGCATACATAAAAAATGTCAGCCTGCTTTTTTTAAGGGCAAGTTCCTATTTTAAAAACTTATTCCAGGGCCAGGGATTTAGCTCAGTGGTTCTGCCGCCTGCCTCACAAGCACAAAATCCCAAGTTCAATCCCCAATACCAAAAAAGAAAAAAAAAAAAAAAAACCCCAATGTTAAAACCTTCCCCAAAACCAAAAAAAAAAAAAAAAAAAAAAATCCCAATGTTAGAACCTTCTAAATTATGAAACAGAAAATAGAAAAGTATCTCCTCTGTAGTCAACACTGCTTAAAAGAACTCTAAAAACAGGAAGCTATCATTCATATATATATATATATATGGGGGGGGTTGAGACAGGGTCTCACTAAGTAGTTCAATATGGCCTTGAACTCATGGCGACCCTCCTGCCACAGCCTTCAGAGTGCTGGGATTAGAGGCGAGCGCCACCACACCTGGCCATCTTATAGTAAATGTACTTCATTGTCTTCCACTAATAATGGCCTTAGATTTGTACTAAAAATTCCAAACTTGTATTTTCTGTTGTCCTAGAAGCAGCACTTACCTGCCAG